TATATATATATATATATATATATATATATATATATATATAATCTGTTTTCTGAGGTTCTCGCGGGTATTTGTATGTGGATCTTTGGTTATTCGGGTTTTCTCCCACGTAAAATTGGAAGTATCTAGGCAACATTTCGATGAAGTCTCATTCATCATCTTCAGGCTTGTGTCTTCAGCTCTGTGCTTCTCAGAGTAATGTGAGCTTGCAGCTGCTTCTTCCTTTTAACTGCTAGTGGGGGTGTGACTTGATTGGGTGGGGGCTTGGCTGTGTTCTGATTGGGTGGGGGTGTGTTCTCATTGTTTGGGGGCCTGGCTGTGCTCTGATTGGCTGGGGGGTTGGCTGTGCTCTGAATGGCTGGGGGTGTGTTCTGTTCAGTTGGGGGCTTGGTTGTGCCCTTAGTTGCTGGGGGATTTGAGCTGGTGAGCTGTGATCCTGCTGTTTGGCTTCGCGTTCGTGCCGGATCTTCATGGTGGGCGTCAGTTCGCTTCATATATGGGTTGGAGGGGTTTGAAGCGGGTAGTGATGCAGCTGCAGTGCGGCTTCTGGTCCGTGGTTGTGTCTCATCTTCTCACACCCTCACAGATCTGTCTGTGCCCAGGTGTCTGCCTGGCTTGTGGTGTGGAGATTTTTTTGTTTGTGAGTGCAGGCTCCCAAATGATTGACAGTCTGGTGGAATCATCTCTTCTATTCATGCTTCCTGGTCTTTTTTCAATCTCTATGGCTTCTCTGATGATTCTGTGGCTGGGGTTTTCTATAGTGGCTAGGGTTTTGGTGCCATTGAAGTTGATGCTGTGACCTGTGGCTTCCATGTGTTGGACTAGTGAGGAAGTGTGTTCCAGCTTTTTGACTGCATTTTTGTGTTCATCCAGGCGGGTACTTATTCTTCTATTGGTCTGTCCAATGTATGTGGCCGGGCATGATGCACAGGGGACTTTGTATATGCCTTGGTTTTCCAGGTCGATTTTATCTTTGGAGTTTCTAAGGATGGCTGCTATTTTTCTGTCTGTTTTGAAGGCAGTCTTGATGTGATGTCTGTCAGTTTCTTACTAATTTTGTCTGTAGTACCTCTTTTGTAGGGCAGGACAGCTGTTCCACAGGTCTGTTCATCTTCTGGGTCTCTATTATGTCTCAGTGTGTTTTTGTGGATCAACCCAGTGATTTTGCTTTTGTGGAAGCCGTTGGCTGTCAGTACCTTAGTCAGGGTGCATAGTTCAGTCTTAATGTGTGTCTTGTCTGCCAGGCGTTTGGTTCTGGTAATTAGTGTTTTAGCCACGGAGTTTATCTGTGCTGGGTGGTGGTGGGATTGGGCGTTGAGGTAGTGGTTAGTGTGTGTTCAACGCCCAATCCCACCTCAACGCCCAATCCCCCTGCTGCCCCCCTTACCCAGGAAAAGAAAGTGAGCAGAAACATAGCTCTCGCTGGGACAAAAGAGCAGAAATTGGAAGGCAAGGCAACAGAAAGCGGTGCTTTTCAAAGCGGCAGCTTCTGTCTTCTATTGTCTGTGCCTTCCTCGATCTCAGCTCTTTCGCCCCAGCAAGAGCTATGTTTCTGCTCACTTTTCCTGGGCTTTCCCTGGGCAAAGATGGGTGGGGCCATGGGATAGGGCAGCAGAGCAGATCACCAAGAAGGACGAGGAAACTGACATTAACACTGACGCCCCATTCTGGATCTCAGAACTGGATGGTGAGCACAGACTTGCACACTCCACCCCCTCCCACCACTACCAGATGGTACGTTTTTTGCCCTAGGCAGTCCCTACTGCCTGCAGCCATCAAGGAAGAGGTCAGGCTAGGAGAGACAAGCTGGAAAGTGCAGGAGTGCTGTGCAAATGCAAGT